CAAGGGCAGTGTTTAGATGTGAAGAGTGGCAAACTCCCTGACAAAATGAAATACTCAAATTATGGTCCTGATAAACTGCTCAGCCTAACAGTAAAAACATCAGTTCCTTATTTATCCAGCATTAATCAAGACTCCATAATCAAGGCCCACATTTTAATAATTCTTTATAGTTCACACAACTCACATCATCTCTGTGAGGTAGATAATGAGTGAAGGTATTATTACCCCTGTTTTACAGATGAGGAAACTGAGACTTAGGTATGTTACATGAATTTGCTAAGGTCACGAGGTCCAGGTTGGAATAGAAACACAAAGGTCCAGGTTGGAATAGAAACACAACTCCTGGCATTCTGACTCTAAGTGGATAACTGAGATAACTACTACCTCATGCTGCTTCTCATGAAATGGAGCAAGTTCGTTCATTTGTAAAGTTTGCTGAAGTACCTAAACTTCTCTTATTTTAAACATTTTTGACAGAAAACACTAAAGATGTATTACATAATCCTGCCCTTCATCAGAGTAAACAATGTAATGTAAACTTCTCTTAATTACTTGCGGTCAACATTATAAACTTGTTCTGCTTAACCCCAGAGAAAAAGAAACAGGAGCAAATTCATATTTGAAAAATCATTATGGATCATTCTGAGTAAGCTCACATGTTACTTGGAAGCAGATTTTTCTCCTTGGTAGGTTAGAAGTTATTAAATATAGCCAATATAAATTAATTGTACCAGAGGCAAATTGAAGCTCAATATAAGCAAGAACTCCCTAACAATTAGAGATGTTCCAAAGTATAACAGGTCGTTTCAGGTGGTTTCAGGCACTAGGTTCCTCTCCATTGAAGGTTTTCAAACAGAAGCTACTGGAGAATCACTTACTGGATGTGTCTTGGTGGGGATTCTTTTTTAGGTTATGGGTTGTACTTTTTTGGGTATGAATATGGCCACTTGAGACCTTTCAATTCTAAAATTTCATGATTCTATGATCAAACTATGCTATGTGACATTTATGGACTCAGGAAACTGAGGTTTGTCCACTTAGCCTTCTCCCCAAACTTATCCCTCATTAAAACTTCTCTATTTCAGTTGAGGACATCACCATAACTTTCAGACATCCAAGCTGGATGTGAATCCTCAGCCTCCCTTCCCTCACATATCTAAGCCTTGTCATTTCTACCTTCATACCATCTCTCACTCTCTACTCCCTTATCTACCACCCTAACTCAGGCCCTCTTACCTCTTGCCCAAAAGGTCCTGCAAAAGTGATTTTCCTAAAGCATGGGTCTGACCAGGTCTCCCTTACTCAAAAATGTCAGTAGTTCCCTATTACTTCTAGGATCACAGAGAAATTTCTCAGTTTGATATTTACAGGTCTTCACAACCTGGCCCTAACCTACCTTTCTGGAGTATATTTGGAGTAACATATTACCACAGCAACTAGGTGGCCAGTGGATAGAGTGCCAGGCATGGGTTCAAGAAGACTCATCTTCCTAAGTTCAAATCTGATCTGTGTGACCCCAGGCATGTCACTTAACCCTGTTTGCCTCAATTTTCTCATCAGTAAAATGGGATGAGGGAAGGAAATGGCAAACCATTCCAGTATCTTTGCCAAGAAAACCCCAAATGGGATCACAAAGAATCAGACATGACTAAAAAATGACTGAACAACATCTTCTCCCACTCTATAATCCAGCCAAACTGCCCTTCTTCCTGTTCTTCACATGACACCCCCTCTCTATGCCTCTGCACTGGCTGATGCCTTGAATATATTCCTTCCTTCCTCTGCCTTGTAAAATGGCTATTCCCTTCAAGAATGTTAACAAGGATCACCTTCTACATGGTTTTCCAGATCCTCACAATTGCTAGTGACTTCTCCAAATTATTGTGTATTTATTATGTGTACATGTAGACTGAAGGCCATACATGCCCACTCCAGAATGTAAGTTCCTAGAGGGCAGGAACTGTTTCACTTTTGTTTTTGTTTATACCCGAGCCTCCAATAGCACTCAATGAATGCTTGTTGATTAAGTTCTATTTCCTTCCTGTTTCCTGTGCTGTCATGTGTCACTTCCTGCTTCAGTGAGCTTCCCTTTAAAGGCTCTTCCATTCCTCTCTGTCAATTTTTAATTTGCAACAAACCTATACACCAGAAAATGAAAACTTACCATTACACCTTAAAAATAGGAATAAATGGAGCAGTGGATAGAGCATTGGCCCTTGATTCAGGAGGACCTGAGTTCACAATGGGCCTCAGACACATAATACTGTGACCCTAAGCAAATGACTTAACCCCACTGCCTAGCCAAAAAACAAAAACAAAAACAAAAATAGAAGTATATAAGCTGTGAGTGAAGATTTAAGGGCTTTTTTTTTTCTTCTTGTAAATGTAAGAGCTAGTGTATTGACTTTGTGACATCAAGGCATGCTGATCAGAGGCTTTTTTTTTTCTCCAAGGCCTTCAATGGCTCCTATTTACCTAAAGAGTGAAGTTGAAACTTCTTGGCCATTTCAGTTCTTCCATGGATTGCTATTCTACCTTCCCAGATTAATCTTATACTACTCACTCTCCTTCATGTATTTTATGCTCCTGCCAACCTTGGATTTCTTCCTGTTCTCTACTCAAATATTTCCATTTCTGCACTTTCCCATCTCCATGACTTTGCTCAGTTTTCCCCAAGTCTAGAATTTACTTCCCCTCCAGCCTTGGCTTGCCTACTGAATTCTTACATTCTATTTTCCCCTTAAATCCTTCCCTGATTCTACCCCTTAATTCTGCCTTTCCCAGGACCTGCTTTCACAGGTCAATGTTTGCATCCCTCTTGCAATATTATTAATTTTCATTGAGTTATTTGTGTATATGTCATTTCCCCTAACTGTAAAGTCTACAGGGTAAATTATCTCTAGCTAGGTTCAACCCAATGCTCTTCATACAGTAACCAATTAGCTCCTGGATGGAAGGAATAAGAAAAGTTCAATTATCTGATATAGTTTGAAAGAAGGACTTGGGAGCATCAAGTCACTACATAAGAACAGGCAATTTCACCAGACAATCTTGCTCTAGAAAACATTTTTTGGCACTGTTCTGTTTTAAAAATGTGAATCCTTACAGATAATACAAACTAATACTAAAGTGTACCACAGAAGTTAATGACATAGCCTCTCTGGGAAGCTAAGTGATCATCTCAAAGATAAAGGGTAAGGAAGCGGAAGAAAGGAGATAAAAAACAATCAGAATCAAAATTTTCAGCTATGCATAAGGCTGAATAATCATTTGGTTTTTCATTTTGTTATTCTGGAAGAAACTTAAAAATTTTAATGCAACTACTGAGTATACTGAGTATGTTACTGAAAAAACTGCTTCTACTTTTCTACGCTCACAAATTGCATTAAAGGTAATCTCATTTTCAATTAATATCTGAGTACTCATTGAATACAGGATACATGGCTCTGGCCCATTCAAAGTAGCTACAGAACCCAACAGAGAATACAATTGTATTCACAATAGATTTACTGTTCTCTTAAAAGTATATGGCATCTGAGTACATCCACATAGGTTGTGGGGGGGAGAGTGTGTGTGTGTGTGTGGGGGGGAACAGTAGGATGAACTAGATGGCAGGGCAAATGAAAACACAAACTAGTGATCAAGCTCTATTATAGATTGTACATTAACAAATTTATCAGCATATCTTCAGAGTTAAGAACTTTAATTACTGATGAGAATCAGAAGAAAATAACGTGATTGCAGATGCCAGAATAAGGTGTCCAAAGTTGGACTGACAATTAGTAAAATTTACAAATACTTTTTTTTTAAATTAGCAAGTTTGATATTGAGATCACTGTGTATGTTAGAATATATAATCTTACAGCAGAGGTTTTTGGTACACATATTTCAAATGCATGAAATGGTCCACAATATAGAAGAAATAAAAAGGATTTCAATTCAATTCAGCAAGCATTTATTAAGCACCTACTATATGCCAGGCACTGAGAAGGGTGTTGGGGATAAAAGCCAGCTAGTGAACTAGCATTTATTAAGCACCTATTATACAAAGGCCAAAAGAAAAAGAAACGAGAAAAATCCCCATTTCAGAAAAAAAGGTACTGAAACTTCCCCTGCAAATCTTACAATGAATTTCCTTTTTGCTAACCATTCGGGAAAGAAAAATCTCCTTTGTAAGTAAAAAAAAAACTCCCTCCAATTTCTTTAAATTCTCTAATAGCCTTTTTATGCGCCCACACGCTAATGTAGGCTATGCATATTTGTAAACCCACAGGGCTTGCGGATAGCTATTGTACCCTTTCTCTATCCAAAATTTTGTTAATAATCATTTTCAAAACTAGCTATTAAGCAAAACGGCAAAAGAGTGAAAATGGCATCAATTCGCTTGCCCTTTCACCTTAACATTTTTGCAATACCCTGTCGTGAAACACAGTAAAACAATTGCTTTTTTTTACCCAAATCACTTGTATTAAAAAAGCAACTATTTTTCCAGAACTTACCTGTCTCCGCCCCTCTCCCCTTTTCCAAACCCCCCCCTTTGGAAAGTCTTTCAACTTTTTTTTTCCCTTTTGGACTCTTTGCCAGCTCTTTTACTCAAAGGATTCGCTAGACCTAAGCTGACAAAATTTTAGTTGGCGAAACAAAGCACGAGCCAAACTTGAAAGCATAACATACCCAACAACATGCACGCGCACACACCACACACACACACACACACAAACAGCCTCAAAGGCCAACACACACACATATACACACACCCAAGGGCACACAAACCCACCCAAAGAGACAATTCCAAGTAGGCGCCCGCTGCGACCCCTCCCCCGACTCCTTTCGGAGCAGGTCTTTCAGGCCGGGTGGCCGCCCCTCCCCTCTATTTCCGACCTGAACTTGTCTGCAGGACCCCCCCCATTCACTGCACTGGGTGGGTTACGCAGGGGGTGGACGGTGGGAAGCCGGGGGTGCCTCCCCAGGGTGGGGTGGGGGGTTCTCCGGCCCCTTACCGCTTGACTCGGATGATCTGGTCCCGCATGGGCTTGATGTCCTGGAAGCTCTGCTGGTTGACCAAGCTGTAGACCAAGATGAAGCCCTGGCCGTTCTTGATGTACAGGTCCCGCATGGAGGCGAACTGCTCCGTGCCCGCCGTGTCCAGGATCTCCAGCACGGACGGGGACGAGTCCACCTCAATCTCCTTGCGGTAGAAGTCCTCGATGGTGGGGTCGTATTTCTCGATGAAGGTGCCGGTCACAAACTGCACAGTGAGGGCGGATTTCCCCACCCCGCCCGAGCCCAGCACCACCACTTTGTACTCGCGCATCGTCCCCCGCCGCCGCCGCCGCCGCCTCCTCGGCCGCCGACATAGACTTACGGCCGCCGAGCCGGGACCCCAGAACGCGCCGCCGCCGCCGCCGCCGCCGCCGTGTCCTCGGGCGGCTGCTGCTGCCGCCGCCGCTGCCGCCGCCCCCACCACCGCCTCGCGGCCGCGGCAGCCCCCTGGGCGGCGGCGGCGGCAGCAGCAGTAGCAGCGCTAGCGGCGGCCCTGGGCATGGACCGCGCTCGGTGGACAGGCAGCCCCGCGAACGCCGCCGGGAGGGAAGCGAGGAGCGGGAGCGGAAGCAGGAGCCGTCGCCGGGCCGCCGCCGCTGGCCCGCAGTGCCCGTGCCGCCGCCGCTCCCCGCCCTCCTTCCTCTGCCGCTTCCTCCACCGCGGCCCGGCGGCGGGCGGCGCGCTAGCTCCCGAGCTGCAGTGCTGCCGGGGGCGGGGCGAGGCGGGGCGAGGCGGGGCCGGCGCCCGGGATGGGAGCTAGCTCCACCCTTCTTCCTCCGTCACCTAGGCAACCCCGAGGCGCCCGCTCCCGGTGCAGCCTGTGGAGCGCCTGAGCTTCCGACCCCAGAAGGGAAAACAAACAAACAAACCAACCTTATCCCACCTCCGCAGGCCCGCACACCCTAACCTAAGCTGGAACAAGTGGAAACGTGCGGCATCCGCTCGTCCAGGTTTTAGCATTTGACCAAGAAAAAGAGCGGGATTGGGGGGCAAGTGCCCCCTGGTCACAAGAGCGTGAACCCCCTTGCGGAAAGGCTTCATTTGGAGGTGACTGTCAGTCCCCCTAAGGGTCGCAGAGAGATGGGCAGGGACTCGTCCTAAGACATAACTCTCCAACTGTGGCTGTATGCTTGTTTTTAAACACGGGATACTGCAGCGGCGTGTGGAAATCACATGCATCCCACAGCCGGGGAAAAGTCATCTCGGCAATCTGTTTCAGCAGGAAGGTCACGCCGGGTCCATCTTCTGCCAAAGCCCGCCCTCCCCCTTGCTTTGCCACTTGTCTCCCACCTCAGTCTGTCCTCTTAATCGCCCGCGATGCTTATCTAGGGCTTCACCCTCTCTTTCTCTCTCTGACCCGCTCCCCCCCCTCCCGCCCCCTGTGTCGGGAGTCGCTAAAGCCCGGAGAATCGGATTCTCCAGGTACTCCCAGCTACACTGAGCATGCCTCTTAGCAACAGCCGGTTTGAACGGCATCTCATCGAAGCCTGGATCTGCACCAGCCAACCAGCGCAAGCCTCGGTGTCACGTGGCACCGCTTGCTACCAATCGGAGGGCGCCCGAGTATCACGTGACGACACCATCTCCCAGAGACAGTCAACCCCTCCGTGCTAGGTCGAGGCTGACTGGAAGCTTGCGACTAGCCAGTCCTAGATTGAGCTGGGGTGTGACGGAGGTGTCTCCTCGACCAATCCGAAAAGAGCTTCAATCAGCAGCCCAACATTTGTGTTCCCCTGATGCTGTGGTCGGGCGTGGGCTCAGGGGCGGTGGTCAGGGAAGAAAAAGTCACTGTGACCTATTCTGGCACTCCGCGAAAAGCATTCCCGCACTTTTCGGCTTAAGTGATGGGCGTGGGGTTGTTAGCTGTTGAGGGACAAAGATTGCAGAAAGTGTTCCATTTCCCCAAGGTGAAAATCCTGCTGGCCAGCGGGGAGTACAGGAGAAAAAGCCAAAGGCTTTCTTAGCAATTGCTTAGACTCTGCAGTCATCTTACCCTTCCTTCTTTGTATTCCTGCTACCAGTTACAGAGGGCTACCATGCAATTATACACATTGTCTTCATTTTATCCTCACGAGCCTCCGAGCCAAGCAGTGCAGTTACAAGCCCACGTAGCTAGTGAGTGGCCGAGCCAGAATTCAAACCCACTTCTTCTGATTCCCGAGTTGTCTTCTTTATGCCAGGCTATTTCAAACATCCCTAGGTTGTCTTAACATGTCGTAGATCTGGTATGCATTTATTAACACTTCTTAAATTTGTTTCATAAACTACTGCTTAACATTTCTTGGGAAAACAAGTTACATAATTTTTACTCCCCGATCTATTAAATCCTCCACTAAATTCTTCTATTGCCTCCTTTTCTTATGAAGGTGACCTTGAAGGCTTAGTCAAAGTCCTATCAAATTGAAAGGCTTTGAATACTGCCACAATTATGTACTGCTTGTTTCCCAAGGACCATTATAACATAAGCACAAGAAAAAAAAATCAGCATCAAGTTAGCTGTATTGAGGTGAATTTGTTGGCCACAGAAGTTCTGGAGGGCTATTTTGTAAGATATTTAGGTATCACTTTCTGCTGTGCCTGGAATATAGATGCTTAATAAATGTTTGTTTGTTGATTGATTGATGGAGGAAGTTGCCATACCAACCAATGAAATCACAGATTGCACTGTTACAAAATAATCATAGTATATTACTTTCTTCCTGTTCTAGTTCTGTATAATACCCTCATAGAGTCATCATGATGATAAGATGTTAGAAAAAATAGTGAAAAAACATGGTTCTCTTGGAAAAAAAAGGGCATTACAATCGGCTTCACATTTATAGAATTTCTATTTGGATGGAACCATTAAGATGATCTAGTCTAACTCCCGCATTTTACAGATGTGGAAATTTAAGGCAGAGAGGCCCAGTTGAATGCCCAAGGTCATAGGTAGTAAATAACACAGCAAGGATTCTAAGCCATGTCATTTGATTCCAGAGGCAGCACTCTTTTCCATTACAAAATGTACAACCTCTCACAGAATATCTAATGGAAACTCAAGCCATACCTGCAAAAGAATCCCTTCTTCATAATTCTCAAAAAATGATTGCCTGAAGACTAAATCTTTCATTCAATGGATGAAGACAGTAAGGCCACAAAGATCAAGAGATTTGCTGAAGGACACAGCTAGTTTGAGGCAAAATATCTCTGAAATACCAGAGAACTAAGGGGTATATGCTGTGGGCTAGCAGTCTACAATCATAGCCATATAACCCACAAATCTATGACAACTTTAGAAGAACTCTCACCCCAACCTAATATATACATATCAAAACATGATTGGCAATTCTGGAAGTTTAGACACTCATTACTGAGCTACTTTGGGCAGAAGCAGTTTAATTGAAGAAACTATTAAATATAAATACATACTTTTATGGAACTTTGTAGAGTACTGATTCATAATGTAAAGCTACTGTATTTATTTGAGAGCTTCTTAAGCTTTCTGTTTTCACTTAATTCAACTCTCTTTTCCCCAAGAAACTTCTTTTTGAAGGAATAAATGCTCTGGCTTGCTGAAGATCAATCATTCAATTTTTTAAAGAGTATTTTAGAAGAAGTGAATATATGGGAGAAGCCAACCCTATAGCCTTCTGCATTGCAATAGGTGGGGGTAAATGATGGGGCTGATGGTTAGAGATCTATTTATTTTGCAAATTAAAAAAAAAGTTATTTTGTATTTTGTTTTTGATCTTAGGGTTTAGGAAGTCTCAGAATTTAACCTTAAGAAACTGTTTGTCACAGGCCTTTGAGAAAGCACTGGGGCACAATTCATCCAATAGACTGGTTATTACAAAAGATGATGAGAAAAGTCTATAGTCTAGCCATTGTCATCTCTGCTAGAATAATACAATTTAGCCTTAGAGCAGTAATGATCCAATCCATTTTACCTAGCTCCTCATCACATTGACTTGTGAATGAGAAAACTGGAGAGATTGGTCAGACGGAACAGAATCTGGGGGATCTTGTAGAAAAGATTGATGTGTAAATTAAGGGCTGGCTTAGATGATCTCTAACAGACATTTTGGCTTAGTTAAAAAAAAATTAAAGGCACTGACCCTGAAGCTAAGTGATTTGGAGTCTAGCTATGACTTTTTTTTTAATAACCTTTAGTAAATCACTTGATCTCTACAAGCTTCAGTTTCCTTATTTGACCAGTAAGGAGGTCTAAGGTTCATTCCAGCCCTAAAATTAATCAAAATGTATTTTCTATGATTCTGTGACTGTACAGGGGACTATGGGATAATAGTCAATGTGGGAGAGTACCTCATTAAAATTTTCATAATTGCTTGTCCTAATAATTAAGTTTTTCAATATTCTGATCAAAGGCATCAAGGAAGAGTTTCTATGATTAAGAGACAACAGAAAGACACAGAGTAAGCATCCTATTCCATATTTATTGCTGTTTCAAACAGGTTTGTTTTTGTTTAGTCAATTAGTCATGCCTGACTCTTCATGACCCCATTTTGGTTGTTTGCTTGTTTGTTTTTTTGGCAAAGATACTGGAATAGTTTGCCATTTCCTTCTCCAGCTCGTTTTACACGTGAGGAAACAGAGGCAAACAGAGTTAAGTGACTTGCCCAGGGTCATGAAGCTAGTAAGTGTCTGAGGTCATATTTGAATTCAAGTGCTTCTGCTGACTGCAGGGCCTGCACCCTAACCACTGTACCACCTAGCTGCCCCTTAATCAGGTTATTTAACCTACTTACAGATAAATATATGAGACTGAGATTGTAAGGAATGTTAAAAAGTAGGTGAGTTGTAGGAATCTGTCTCCTGTTTTTTAATCATGTTCTTCACTAAATGCCCTCATTACCCAGTAAACATAGCCTTTCCCTTTATATAGCTAAGAAGGTAGCAAAATTTTGTGCTGGCCAAAATATATTGCCAAATTAAGTCTGGGGGAGGGGTGGTGGTAGCAGACACATAATAATAACGAAACGAATATAGAGCAGGAAGGTGTTTGCGAAGGTTTTGTTCATTTTAATTTTTATTCTTATTCAACCTCATGGTCATGCCAATCAGGAAAGGTCTAGAAGGAAAGATAGTCCTAGAATCCACAAGGTTTCTATGGATTTTTTCTTTGTTTGTGTTCTTGAAATACAATTCGACAACATAGAGTCCTGAACCAAAGTTAAGGAGAAATAACAAAGAATTTTCTAATTTGAAATCAGATAGTTGCCTGGGACCACAAACTGGGAATCAGCAATAGACCCAGCCAGTCAAAACAAATGATTAAATCAAAAAAGTATACCAAAGAAAGTGGCAAGAAAAGATTCACCCATTTATACAGGTAGTATACAT